TGTCCGAGTATGGGCAATTGCCCAATGCCGTCAAGTCTCAACTCTCAATCTCTCTCTCTCTCTCTCCCTTTTTCTCATCGAAGAAGAAACAGCAGAGGGAGGAGAGGAAGTGGAGATTGTGGAGAGGACCAGAGGAGGAGACGAAGAAGGAAATAAGAGTCCTCTCAGTCTCTCTCTCTCTCTCTCTCTCTCTCTCTCTCTCTCTCTCTCTCTCTCTCTCATGTTGTCAGATACTAACCAGTGTAAAGGCGTTGTCTTGAGCTGTGATCTAGCCTCCACACTCCTGGCCYCCACCCCGATCCTCCTGGCTCCCACTATCTCTAGCCKAGCTCCTCTACCATCCAGCGCTGCTCCAGCAGCGTACTGACTCGACTCCCAAATGCTGTGTGCCAGAAATGAGGGCGACCCAGCTTTATATAGCGGTGGGCCTACTGGGTGCTGCTGCGGTCTGCATCCTGCGCCGTCCGATCATGATGCTGATTGGCGGTCGAGGACACAGGTCCAAATCCTGGTCCTGAAAGCTGGCCTCAAAACGACCGGCTTGGGTCCCATCCGGACGTTCAGGCTCCTCTGCTGCAACAGCAGAGGGGTCCTCACAAGACGATGAAACACGGGCTGGACCCAAAACGTGGTTCAGCCGCAAACAAAGTGTGCCAGGCCTTAAAAATGGCTGGTGGGCCTGAAATGGCCCACCTGGTCCAGAGGACTACCGGTCTGGACAAAATTACTGAACCGACACATCCCCCAGAACGGAGACAAACGAAACTCAGAGCAGACAACAAAAAATAACTCAGAAAAAAAATGCAGAGGACCCAAAAAGAAAAAGGAAAAAGGAAAACCCCAAACTCACACTGCACTACACCTAAACCAGTGTTGGGCCCTGGAGGGGCCTGTGTGGTAGCTGTGCATACCACGGTCTCGCTCCATTTGTGAGAGACGTCCCCTGTGACATTTGATGAAGAAGGCATGCCATTTCATTCATGCGTCACCCTCACCATGTCATCTCTGTCTCTCACCATTTCSRAGGCATGTCATTTCCTTCTAGATCCTACCTAGATCACCCCTACCTTTTGATATTGTGCTGACCCAGCAATGGCTTGGGGCTGCAGATGGCAGATGCCGGCACCAATTGTCTGCGCCAGCCAGATCAATATTTTGATTGAATGCACATACCAATCGATCTAATTGGGCCGGATCAGACAACCCTGGACATGCTGTACAGTCCTATCCATCCCCTTCCTTTGACCGTTACTCTTAGTGTGGCATGCAGAGCTGATGTTGAGCTGAAGCGTGCATCTCTATCACTGGCAACAGAGCTCACAAACTCCTGCTTCTCCTGTAGCCACACCCAACCGATATTGAACGTCCAATGTCATCTATAATATTTGGCAGCGGCAGCCAGCCATAACTGCGGTTTAAAAATCATCATCACAACCTGGCCCAGACGCAGCTGGGACCAATTTGAGCGTACAAACGCGGGCCCGCCCGAGCCCGGACCTTGAAGAAGAATCGCAGCCGGACCTGCCCAGACCCAGACATATTTT